GTTGTCATCTGAGCGTTTTTCTAAACCCATTTTGAACAACCATAGTGAAACGTCTGGACAAAATGTCCCGTCAAATCGAACGCTTCTGAGTAAAAAGTTGTCGTCCGGACGTTCATTCTGAATGCACCCCTGATGACCATAGGCCTTGCTGAACTTTTTGCACGGTTTATCATCTTTCTCTTTTTCTCTTCAACGAAAGAAAAGGGAGAAAGATGAAGTATGAACCGTGCAAAAACTTTAGCTAAAAAGAACAGACCTCATGTAATACAGAACGCTACGTGCATGTCGCGCACGAAAAGTCGGAATGTCGGAATCAGCGATAATCATGTTTCACGGACAAGTTCAAGAATGAATGGGAGCGATAATTAATTATAATTAATCCTGAAACACAAATTGATCAATCACAATCGAATGTGAGAAGAATAATCGACGATATGATTGGGTTAATTTCTTAAGGTTTATTATACCTTATACCTATTGTGTGTTAGAATTTAAAGAAGGAATTAAAAGATGATGTTAGATTTATGCCTGTTTCTACCAATGTGGATTAACTTTAATCTTGATTTAATTTAATTTTCTTCTTTTTCTAATCCTTAGAACTAGAGAAAGATGAAGAGTAAGTTGAACCGAGATTTTAAAGTTAATCTACAATTGGTAGAAATAAGAATTAGAGTAAGCTAATTTAACTAAGAAACTTTGTTTATTTATTTTTTTCCTCGTACGACGATGATGATGATAAAATAATATCAATGATAACCCAGATAGCAGGGCAACGTTTTAATGACGTCTTATTGACGTTAAAACATCATTAAAACGTTATTAAAACGTCATTTGACGTGACTTTGCTACTTAGGAAGATATGGATGTAAATTAGAGTACAGATAAGGTAATAATGAAGTAATGAAGTAATATTAATAGAAAGATAATTAAATGATCAAGGCATATTATTAAGAGGTAATTAAAAGATAATTAACTAACTAATAAAAATAACTTGAGTATAAGTTAATCGTTTTTTTTTTTTACTTGAAGTCGTTCAAACGTACGTCTATTTCTACCAATGTAGATTAACTCAATCGGCAATGTAGATAAACTTGATTAACAATTGCCGAGTAATTATACTATTTTGCGAACGTGAATGAAATTTGTTAATTTTTTGTTTAACATATAGAAAAAAATTAGATATTGAGGACAATGAATTACTAATCGAGTTAGTCGGCGATTAACTGTACTTTGGTCGAAATCACTCTAATGTTCATTTCTACAAAAGAAGTAGATCTTACAATTAGAATTAGAAAAAGTATAGTAAAGAGTATAGTGAATCGAGATTAAAATTAATCCTCCGAGGTTGACATCAAAATCTGTAACACTGCAGTTATTATAACACTTGTTTGTGACACTTTTATTTAATTTATGTTTATTAAAGAATATTAATTAACAATAATAAGATTGAAAGACCGCTAATGTTAAACATAATGCTTTAAATTAAGAAGCGTCATAACGGTCAGAACGTTAAGATGAACTATTGTAAATTCATTTATGGTAAATGAATTAATTTCAGAAATGATAATTGCGTGCCGATATGGTTGTCGGAATATTAATTAATTTTTCAAAGAATGACGTCTCACACGATAAAAAAGAATATAAATATTAAGTTTATTTTAATAATAATTCAAATTTGTAGAGAGAGAGATATATATACATAAAGAATATAATTGAGCTCCGGAAGATTAATCTACATTAGTACTTAGAAATGGACATAAGAAGACGCAAAAAATAAAGATAGCGAGAAAAGAACGAAACTTACTGTTAAGATACACTACCACTGTTAAAGATATGCTTTACGGCGAGCAGAAAACTAAAGAACCGTTGTCTCGGATGATCCTCGTGGCTTCTGGAACGAGCTTTCGACGACGAGTGACAATAATCTTTCTCTTTATCTTCTCAAGAAAAGATTAGATTCTGTGAGCTGGTTTTTGAATAAAACGCCGTCTTTATCTATTTTAGTATAACGAACATAGGTGAGTGGCAGTTGAACGAATGTATTTTCAACACAATGCATTGGTAATGCTCAGTAATAATGACTTGCGTCCTCGCGATGCTCGCCGACGATAACACGCGCGCGAACCGAAACCCTTTTCTTTCCCTCTTTCCTTCTCTTTTATGGAAATATACTTATATATTCTTGCTCTTGAATATATAATATAATCTAGCAACAAGAGCGTGTCGCATCAGTAATGAGAAACTTACATTAACAATAGACGTTAATATGGATATTTATATTGTCGGGGGTTTATAGTATAGACATGTAAAATATTTCTTCATAGTATGTACGGTACAGAAGGTAAACTTTTAGATTAGCTTCCCTTCCCCGATTTCTTTAAAACTTAGTTTTTTACATATATTTTTTATAGCTAAATACAAATTTGAAAGAATTTTTCGACGATCGAACATATTTAGACCACCATCTTGAAAATTATAAAAAACTTTTTTATCGATATATATATATTTATATTTTCTAAAATATTGATTATACCAAAAGTGTCGGAAAGTAGTAAACAGCTTTTGAATACTGTTCAACGCTGCTTTGGATGCATTCTGTTTCACGCACGGTGCATCATTTTATCTTTCTTTAATTTTTTATGAACAACAAAGATAAAATGATATATCATAAGCATCATACGTAAAATGAATCATATCTTCTTGTAATAGAGTGGGGGTAAAATGCCAGCTTTCCTTCGCTACGTAAAATTGCATCTGTCTAAAAAAAAAAACTCGTGATATTAGGCCTGTTCTTTTTGGCTGAACTTTTGCACCAGTTCATCTTTCTTCTTTTGCTCTTGAAGAGAAAAGAAAGAAAAATGAACTGATGCAAAAGTTCAGCCAAAAAGAACAGGTTTATTGTCTACAAGAGAGGTCCTATACGTAATAGACGTATATATATATATATATGCAATATTTTAGTATTATATACGCCATATTAAAAAAATTAGTAATTATTCAGTTAATTGAACTATCTCATCTTCAATTTTGAAATTAGGTTCATTCGATACTTTTATGGATTTACAATTTTCCACACGAAACGCGGTATCCACATATAGGTTTCCAATTTTCCATACAAAGTGAGATTTAATTTGAAAATAAATTAGACTTGTTTTTACAGGGCGGAACCTTTTGAACACACATGTACCTTGCAATTGCGGAAGGTCCTTCTTTTCTCTCCTTCCTCTTTTCCTCCGCAATAAATATATCATTTATTCTAAGAATTACAAAAAAATGATTAGTATACTATACATCGAAGGAATACATTAGTATACATTAGTATACATTAGTATGCATCAAAAGAATACATTAAGGCCGGTATTCATAGTCAGTTCTTATATTCAAGACCATCTTAAGTAATGTCTTAATACGCTAATGCGGCTCTCTTATTGGTTCATAACACCTCAAGGCTGAACTTGAGACGATCTTGAATATAAGAACTGACTATGAATACCGGCCAGAGGGCTGTATTAGCATCTTAAGACATTACTTAAGACGGTCTTGAAATAAGATCTGACTATGAATATCGGCCTAAGATACGATGTTCAATAAAGATTTTAGTATAAATTATAAAAATTATTGAGCTTTCAAGACTTCGAATAATCGACTAAAAATATTGAATGTCTAGAATATCTATAAGTATATAGATTATTGTGATAAAAAAATGGAGATTGTGAGATTAATATTAAGATAAATAAAACAAATAAATATATTTACAATTAAAACTCTCAATCTTTAAAAATAACAATAAATTGATTCAAGGTTATAAATACAAGGTTACAAATTGATTTCAAGGCTAATAAGAGTCAGCGCGGGAGGAGGTGCGCAAGTTATTAATTTGAAATGATTAACTTAACTCCAATTGTTCAGCGGTGTCTTCTTTCTTCATAAATCTTGAATTAAGATTTATGAATAAAGAAGACATCGCAGAACTGAACTCAATTTTTCATGTATTCTCGTCATGTAATATAATTTTAACTGACATCATCAAATTCCTCGTTCTAAAAATTATAAGAAGTAATGATTTTACTTTTCGCGAGCACAGCAAAAACTTTCGTAACATCCTTTTTGTATACGTTTAAAATTGGATAATATAAGATATAAAATAGGTGCGATAAATATGGAATGTATAAAAAGTAAAAATAACTTTAGTAGTGACACACGTTCGCTTTATTTAAAAACAGCATTTGAAAGGCACTATGTACATATTATATACACGCAAATTGTGTGTCTCCACTTTTATGGTATGTAGAATAATATGTAGAATGTTTGATTATACGAAACTGTATCAACAGTTTGTTATCTATACACATGCAATGTGTATATCAGTTCGTTATATCGCGCTGTTGGACATGTTAAATATGAGGAACGCGATATCAAGGAATATCAGAAAACGTCGCAATGCAACGATACATATAAAAATCGAATGTTATGTACATCATTGGCATCTTTTAACAAGTAGACGTTAGCGTCGGGGATAAATCTGTTTGTACTAAATTTACAATTGTAGTTTTTGTGCATCGAGATATGTCAAGAGATACAATTTCCCTGTTTCACTTGATTCTGTAGAAGATATGCCATCGCAAGAATACATTTGTGTAATCTCATTGTTTTCTACAGTTACTGAATTGTACTTTGATCAATTTTATACGATAGGTTTGTTTTTTATTTCTGCACTAAACTGCACAAGAACTCTCTTTCTCGCTTTAGTCAAATATCAAACATATACCTATCTCACATTAAGTTTCAAAGTATAGTTCAGCCATAGAAAACAGATCTAATGACTGAGGCAAATCAATTTCATCGTTGCGTCATTGCAACCAAATGTGTTAATTGTAAATATTCGGATTTTAATCTTTCAAGAAATTAACAAGATTAAAATTCGGATACAATGAATTATAAAAAATCATTGAATATACTTCGAAATAAAACAATTACAGATATTTTAAAGAACTGTCCCAAATATGTAACGGTATGTTTCCCGTAAGATAAGATAATGTGACATTTTCAGATAAAAATATATTATACTCATATCTAAAAGCATACATTAAATACTGCTTTCCTTTAAATTGTAAGAGAGATGTTTAGACAATTGTACGATTAGGCAATTGTGCGGTGAGCGTCAGTAATTATCAAATGTTTCATTAAATCCAAAGTTTGTTTATACAAAAATGTAAAGATATATTTTTACATATTCCTTTTTCTTTAACTGTATGTTCCTCCGCTTTGTCTTTTCAATTACAAATTTAGAATAAAACTCAACTAACGATAATAGAACAATAAAATGTCAAAGTCCATTTTGGAGAACATTGAACGCTGCTCCCAATGCCCAACTTAATTCATGGCCATTGATCCTCTTATAAAGCTACAAGAATTAAAAATACTTTGTTATTCCTAAGAACACTGTCGTAAAATAAAAATAGTATCACAATATTATGTAACTTTTGCTTACATATAGCTTAGTCGACGGTTCCAAACCAAATCCGTCTCTTAGCAGAACATAAATAAATGTCAAATCTAAGCACATGAACGGCTGATCTGTGTTTGGATAGTCGCACGTCTCCATGGCTTGTTTAAAAAATGAATTCAAATGCACCATTCCGCCCAAAAATGGATCTATTAATGCTACCTAAAAAATCGATAATACAAATATTATAATATTTATATTTGCAGATAGAAATATTGTACTATTTATATTAAAGAACTATACTTTTTTTTCCTAACATATAAATTATAAACTATGACGGCTGCAATAACATACATATGAGAGAGATACGCGGTTTTCATATTTATGAAGTTCGTTAATTTATGTGTTAGGAAAAAAGTATAGCTCTTTAATATTAAATAAATCTATATCTCGTTCAATATATATTCATATATAATTAAAAAATATTTTTTTTTTTATTTTTATATTATTAAATTCATATCTTATTTATTTTATATTATCTGTGTGTTGTATTCTCTTATATTATTCAATCATCTATAGATATAATAAAACATGATTTTGTTAAATATTTATGCATTAATATATCAATATTTATTTAAATTTCATAACTTTTTGAACCTTTACCTCAGTCGCACGTTCAAAGTAGTACGAAAACGCGTATACTTCGTGATCCTTCAAACCTATTGGTTTTTCTGTGAGAGTACCAACATATTTCTCAATAATCTTTAAACATTCCGCAAAGCGTACAATCGGCTTGTTCTCATCTCCGCCAGCAAAATTTTGTGTTTTAACTAATTTGTATGTGCCATTTATTGGACCTTTTACAATGTAATCACGCTCTTGGTAAGACCACTCAGTAGACACGATCGGATTGATGCACTCGGAATGTATCTCTATGGGAACTTTGAGATTTGTATCCTCAAGATTCATGTTATAAGTCAAAATCGCCTTTCTGGCGGCCATTAGACCCATGCCTAAGTAACTGTGCGTGTACAGACTCATGTTGTGATTGAATACATTGATGGAGTAAACATGTTTTTCCAATTTTTTCGCCTGGACGCTGTCCGGTTGAAACGTAACTTGCGTAGAACCACCGCCGAGATCCAACGCAGCCACGGTAGTCTGAGAGCTTAGTGAGTTAAAGCGGTCCAGTAGGAAATTGACGGTGAACCAGGAAAAGATTCCCTCGTCTGTGCCTTCCATTACAGAGATAGAATTTCTCGCGATCTGGAATCCGGATGTTTGGAACAACTTTCTGCACTCCTCTAGTATGCCGTTGGCTTTATGCTCCGGCAACAACCTCAGCCCTGCCGTGGCCTTCATCGTCAGCAGCGTACGAGGCCATTCCGACTGTGGAATCACCGCCTTCGCCTCGTTCAGAAGTGTAGTTAGAGACTTTGCGGCATCCTCCGGTTTGTCGGCAAACGAGCTCAAGCCAGGTTTTATTTCTTTGAATAATTCATTATCAAGCACTAAATTGCCATTGAGAATGGACTCATGAAAGCTAAACGCTAATACGCGGCTACCAGTAGATCCAGCATCGATGACGACCACGTAGAACGGTTTTTGTAAATTAAATGAAAGTGCTAGGGTATCAATAGCCTTACTGCCTATTCTGATGGGCTTTAAGTCATTCGCTATGGCTACGTAACCTAGGAACAATGTACCAAGTACTACTAGCATGGTGAAGTATTTCTTTCCAGGCTGACTGATGATTTTCTTCTGGTAGGATGCCAATTCATTATCGCGCTCCTCTTCATTTTCAGTTCTCAGCTAAAAATACAAAAGACAATTATTACAAAAAAAGTTTATATCTAAATTTACAGCATATTGCATTCTAATCAATTAATGCCTAAATTCTAAGCAGAATCGTAAGGCTTGTAACATATTCTTGTAAGACTTGTAAGAATTGTTAAATGCTTATACCTCTATACAATATTTTTACAGATAGCTTCTTACACTAGTCATAAAATTTACAAGAAATCGTAGATATTTACGAATAATCGTACGTCTTACAATACATACGCATAAAATTAGAATACTAGTCATAAATTTCTACAAATTTTACGAGGACACGTTACGAGTTTTACGATTCTGCTTAGAATTGACCCATAAAAGTGACAAGATTAAAAGTGACATAATGTTATATATTGTGTTACACAACACTACATTGTTGAATACAAAATTGTAATATTGAAACTACGTTGCTTTTAGTTGCCAACTGAGATGTTTGTATCACACGCAACATCATCATTCCATAAGTACTCTGATAATAATGAAATATATTCAAACGGAACACAAATCATCAACTTCAAAATGATCACTAAAAGTCACTTTTCAATCATTTACGATTCATTTTGAAACTCGAGTATATATTGTTTTTAGAATACTGCAGTATTTTGAAGAAACCATACGCAAATCATGTTATAACAAATTCAGAATAGTTACAAATGTATGTACTAATGTAACACTTCCTTCCATCTCTAATTATGAATTTTTAGGATTTGCTTTCTATCAAGGGTGGCTTTGATTAAATCCAACTAATTTAATTCAATCTGAATTGCTCGCAGCGAAATTTCTAATTATACAATTTATTTTATTTCTTAATCTTCCTTCCACATGTCAACAAAAAATAATTCTCTCATTAATAAAAGCACAAGTTCAGTTTGACAAGAATTTGACTTTGATCAAACTTCACTTTTACCAATTCAACCAACACAATAATTGTGCTCATAATAAAATTTCTAAGGCCCAGTTTCACAACTCACGGTTAACTCTTAACCGAGGTTCAACTTGTTTCTCATCCATTTCCAATTCTAAAATTAGTAAGAGACAATGAATAAGTTGAACCTCGGTTAAGAGTTAACCATGAGTTGTGGAACTGGGCCTAACGCAGAATCAAAAAATAAATAAATATTGCCACTTTAATATAACTCATCATTTTTAATCTTTCCTTTTATGTCGAATAACAAAGAATCATCGTCCCATCCTCGTTAGTAAATACCACAGGTTTTACCCGGAACAACGCTAATCATCAATGAGAACAACTAAGAGTTTGTCAAGGTCACCCTGGATCAATCGTCGTTCGAGTTAATTTGTCGAGGTCATGACGCAAGAGGGAAACAGACAATGTTAACCTAGTCTGGGCATATGTCGCGACAGGCATAAGGAAGATGTATTTCACGTGAGGAGGCTCTTTTTACATCGTTTCTACTCACGAGCGTGTATCGCATCTAGGGCGACCCGTACGATCCGCCGGGTGACGAGTGCTTGTCATGTAAAAAAAATAAATAAATAAAACACGGAGTGTCGGAGTTCGTGGGTGCGCGACGGCCGGGCGGGGAAGTAGCGGGTGGCAACGGGTGGCAACGGGGAAGCTGGGAAAAGCAGCGGGTGGCAACGGGGAAGCTGGGGGAAGCGCCGATGTGGCTGGATGTAGCTACCGCGTGGCGCGTGCATCAACGTTCATCGCGCCCTCGAACGCAATCGCGCATTGTGCACTCGATCGTCGCAGGTACGTACGTTCCATTTGGCGCTCACGGCGCTTATAAGCGTAATTTGCCCTTGTTTAATCTTTAAGTATAAATAAGTGGTAGTGCTCAAAATACTGCATACAAATTTTATTTTTATAATCTTTTTTAACATTTACACCTAAATTTACATTATATTTATATTTTTACGAGATAGAGGAATGTAAAAGTAATTAAGACTTCGGGGCAATTCTTTTTACCTTCCTTTTCTAGAACAAGATTTTTAAAATAATTATACGTAGAGAGTAGCAATCTATTTAGTTAACGTTTGATAAACAACAAAGAGTGCTTTGTGACATAAGTCGCGACACAAACATCATTCTGTCTTTCTTAGTATTTCAGTGAGTAACCAAGATAGAACGACGCTTGGGTCACTCAATTTCTATGAAATGGAAAGTACTCTCAAGAATGAAATAATTCCCAGAGTGCTGAACAGCAAATGGAGCGCAGCCCGAGTGTCAATGAGGAGCGATCACGTGACGAGGCGCGAGTCACGGGACGCGAGAGGGATGATTCGAAATTCGAACTGTGATCTCGCGTGCGTTTCCGCGTGCAACGTATCTGTACACGTTCGCACACAACATGCACCGTCACGATCAGTCACGATTCACCGGGTACGTTCGGTTTTGCGCACAAAATGTATCATTTTATCCTTCTCCAATATTCCGTGAACAACAAGAATATAATTATATACATCGTGAGAATGATGCGTGAAACAGAACGCACTCACGAAAGACGCGGCACGGCAACGCGCTTCCGTGTTCGACGCTCGAGTTCCGACGAGCGTCGAGACGAACGGCGTAGATGGGATCACCGATAAATTCGCTTACGCACCTTTCGACGTCTCACGCTCATGTTTTATTCGACGGACGAAACGACGGTAGACCACCGACGATGATGACGGGATAAAAAGATGATTGACGCAGACAAAGAATCGGGAACGGTCACGTCCGTCACGCGAGACTCAACAGTCATAGCGCGGCAGCAGACTGTCGGGAGCGAATTGAGCCGATTGAGCGGCGTGCAGCTCGTCGGCGGGCACGAGTTTCACGTCCGTGAATACGACGCTTTGCCGGGGAGCAGTTAATGTTGCGTGCGCCGACGAGTCATTACGATATGGCGCGAAGGACCCGATAATACCTCTACTGTCTCGAGACCCACCGCTACGCGTCTCGGCAATTCGTGGATGATCGCCGAGAGTACAAAGGTGATTAGAGAAGGAGCGAGCGAGTGAACGAAACGGTCGATAATCCGGAATTTCAAGGCTCCCACTTTGAACGTTTGACAGACTGCGACAAATGTGCACGGCAAACTACCTAAAGATCACTATAAAGATCGAACGGCGATCGAAATAGAAGTAATTCAAGCGTCAAAACAGTGGATGTTAAAATAGTAATTAGAAAGAGAGAGAAATAGCGCTGACTGGTCGCTACGCGTGTTTGAAAAGATAATAAACACACGTCACACGATTGTAAAAATCAGCAAAGATGAAAAAACGCTTTGTCACAGTCCCATGTTCTTTTATGCGATTTGTATAAAAAAAAAGATCCAACCGCAAACGCAAAAAATTCGATTCGAATTTCGAGTCTTTGCGTGCCGATGATCTCAATGATTAACTTATCGCGTTGCAAAGAACGCAAGAAAAATTCTTGTTTGTACTTATACAATTATGCAATACGGTTAGATAACGAACCGCCGACGACACGCTCGTTGCGATGAGTTAGCGATTTATCGCAGAATTTGTTAGTTATCGATCGTTAATGTATCTGTAAATTCATTTAAACCATCTGTGAGCGTGCGAAGCATTGATTGATGATCGTTGTAAGTAGATTCGCATGTAATATATTCATATACATATATTTTCGTTGTGGCACCTGTGAAAATAGATTGTGTATCTTGAAGCGAGATGAAAACACATATTTCTACATAAAAGTCTGTAAATGAAAGTTACAAAAATGAGCAAATTCACCAATAAAATTATAAATATTCTAGTAAATTCGCTCATTCTTATAATTTTCACCAAGTTGTGTGATAAAATAGTCAAACCCCTTCCAATAAACGAGAATGAATTGAAATCGATGAAATGGATTCAAATTTTTAAAAATGCGTATTCGCGAACGTTAAAATGAATCCTTTCCAATTCGAATGCATTTTTATTCATTTAATAGAAATTGCATGAAGCACATTCCTATGTCTTTCAATCTAAAAATAATATCAGCTTTTCTGTGCCACGTCTCAATTCAAAATTCTGAATAGAAAATGCAATTTTTCAATTCAGTTGAATCTAATTGAATCCAATTTAATCCAATTTAAGCCAATTAAATACAAAAAAGACTTTATTTCGCGGATAAATAAAATTCCATTTTAATTCGTTCTCGTTTACTAAACTGTTTTCAAATAATTTCAATGGTCCATCCGGTCAAAAATTCGCGCATAATTAAATATATATAGTATACGTAACGTGAATAGATTTTTAGTATTCGCAGTGAATAAAGGTCCGTCTATAATACACGTAGTAAGTTTGGTTTAAGAAGAGTAAGAAATAAAATTAATTTATTTCGCTTACGCCTGTAGACCCATCTACAATACACGTAGTAAGCTTGGTTTAAGAAGTAAGAGTAGGTGTAAAAGTTTAGAATAGGTGTAGATGTAGACGTAAGTGAAATAAACTAATTTTATTTCTTACTCTTACTTCTTAAACCAAACTTACTACTGTATTTATACGGGCCTTAAGAAACGCACTCCTAGGGGTCAATTGCGTACTTTGAAACGAGATAAAAAATTACAAAAATAACAAATTTATTACAGACGTTAACCAACGAAATTATAGATATTCTTAAAATTTTGTTCACTTTTGTAATTTTCATCTTATTTCAAGATACGCAATCGACTCTCTGTATCAGAACTTTTCTTCTCGTTTTCACCACATTTCAAACATACCTATTTTACTTCAAGTATAAAAAGTTTACACTAATTTATGAAATAACAGATTTCTTGTTATCAGAATCGTAAATTGTGCACTGATAAGCCTTAATTATGTCCACAATACGAGAAATCACTTCGAGATCTTGGACGGAGAAAGAATTAACAAATCACAATTGAACAATGAGGCTATTTAATCAATATGATTGTTCAATTCTTTCTTCGCGATCTCGAAGCATTGTGGATACAAGAGATCTATTTTTTATAAGGTTTGTTCGCGTCGCAAGCTCCAACATGCTCCAACATGTTCCTACCATAGCTCCTAGTCACTCTGTCAAGTCATCTGCGATGGAGTGAGTAAGAGCTATGGTAGGAGCATATTGGAACATGTTGGAGCATGCGATGCGACAAACCTATAGTGAATTCTACAATTTACTCCAGACAAGCGTCTAAAATCAAGTTATAAGACGTTTTTTGCGTCTAAAAGTCGACTTAAAGAATCTTATTTCATAATTTTAGACTTTCTGTTGTTTGGGTAGAAAGCTTATCAACGTAAAAATAGCCGAGTCGATAAAAAGCATCTATAGCAAAGGATCTTGTGCTCTTTATTCCTCTAATGTACTATATTCTATTGTCCCATAAGACAACCCCTACGTCAATTGTCTTTCTTGGCTCGTTAAAAATTTTTCTCTCTCCTTGTAAGTTTGCCAGTATATTGTAGAGTTCACTGGTTTCTATTTTTCTATAGCTAAACTAATAGAATTTTGGAACTTAAAGTGAAGTAGGTATATACTGTTTAATATTTAGCGAAAGCGAGAAAGAAAATTCTAATGCAGAAATAATAAACAAACCTAAGGTTTTAGCCTTGATCAAGCAGTATATATGCAGTGTATTAAAAATTCCATTTCTCATTCAATTTCTTATAATAATAGCTAAACTTGAAGTGTCTCATGTTTTTTTATTGATGAGTATGTATATATATATATACATATATACAGTCGATATATATGTATACAGTCGGTTTTTATATTTAATATCGTCATAAGTCTTAAGATGTCATAAATCAGTCATAAAACCATATTAACATTTTAAGATTTATTAATTAAGATAGCCTTGAAATAAGAACAGATATATTGGCTTAAATTTGTCAGGTAGAATTGTTGTTTCGTGTACACACGTTTTCTTACTCTAGAAAGGTCTGCATATATTTTATGTATGTAACATAGATAAGGTATAATGTTGTCGGAATATTTATGAAAGAGATAAAATGTATCGATAAAATGTATGTATATAATATGATATACATTTATCGAAATAAAAGAACAAGTATATACACATAAAATATTGTAATATATATGTATATGGTATATACAGGGTGTTCAGTAGGAGAAAATTTAAGAAGTGATTCCTAGATTGATGTTAAAACGGAAATCAAGAATAACAAAATTGCGATGGATGCTTGGTTTTTTAGTTATAAATATTTTAATGATCATGTGATTAGGCATTTTATGTGAATATTTTAACATTTAAAATTGGAAAATTAAGAATAACAAAATTTTGATGGAGGCATTATTGTTTAATTATAAATATCTAAATATTCACATATTTTTGACACTAATTCTTACATGAATATTTAAACATTTATTATTAAAAAAAGAAATGAAGCTTTAACCACAATTTTGTTGCTTTTGATTTCTTAATTTTTTATCTATATGTACAATCATTCTTTAAATCTTCTTCCACCTGTTGCCAAATATTAATATAATATATATAGTATACAAAATTTATATATATATGTTGTGTATACATATATATATATAATATATACATACATAAATTAATATATTTTTATATAATAAATTATGCATATTATCTAGAAAAATTAGAAATAGTTATTTAACGGCTTTGATATTCAATTTTTATTTTATGTAATTGTAATGTAAATATGTAATTATAGAAATCATTTAATTCATATGAATTTAATACTGCAAGCTACAAGACAAATACAATTTTACATATATATTAATTATATCAAGCAAAGAGCATTTAATACTGTATACACTTCAATGTAAATCAATTGTAGATATATTTGCAAATAAAAATTTGTACAAATCTTATGCGAATAAGATAGTTAATCACTGAATTGAAGGTTAGAATTCTTTTCTGAGATCTAAAAATAGATCTCAACTCAACAAACATATTTTTAGGTCGTGGTGTTCTCCAGATCTCTTATACGCAGTATGGATTACTCTGACAGGAACTTTTATCAAGATATAATAACGTTTTGCTTGTGAAAACAAAGTTTTAATTTAAATAACAAAAGTGCAAGTATCGATACGTATATTAATATTTTTCTGATGTCTGTACTAGATAAGACAGTACATATATATCTGTACTAGATAAGATATATAGTACATATATATCACTCTAACTTAATCCGTTAAACCAAGCTGGTAAGAATAAGCAATACGAACACAAAAAACCTATAAATCATTTTAGATTCACTATTTCTCTCTTACAGTACAATATATATTTTTTTATAATTTCACAACTCAACAATTTAACAGTGAAAGAAATTTAATTATTTATTTTCAGATGCAACCTGTAAGAAGCAAAAATAATACAAAGTGCACAATACATATTACATTAACGCAAAAAAATATAATTACTTGGATATATATTGCTCTTTCAATTTTTTATATTAATCAAATAATCTATTTAAACAAAGAGTGCAAAAATGACGCGCAATACCACAGATAACTTTCTCAAACAGGCTGTCATCCAGATTGGTGCTGGAGGATCAGCAGGTTTTATAGAAGTTTGTATAATGCATCCAATGGATCTCGTTAAAACACGTTTTCAGCTCCAAGTGAAGACAACAAAATCAGATCCATTATATTATACAGGTACTTTGCGTATTAAAACATTTCTAGTATCATTATGCATTAGCTATATTAATATTATTATAGGAATTCGTGATTGCATGACTAAAATGTATAAGACTGAAGGACTACCAGCATTTTGGAAGGGAATTTTACCTCCGATACTTGTAGAAACTCCTAAACGTGCAGTTAAAGTAAGTACATATTGCTTAATACATAAAAGTGCAGAGAAAATCTGCGCATTTACTTATATTTACAAAAATTATTTTTATTTTTATTTATAAAAACTTTATCCTTTCTTTTTTAGTTTTTTACATTTGAACAATATAAACAGTTTTTCTTATTTGGCGCTAGTGCACCCACTCCGTTGGTAATTACTTTAATACGATTATTATAACGATCAGTTGATTATTTATAAGATAAAAAAAAAGTTATATTGTTGCAGACATTCTCATGTGCTGGTTTCTTCGCTGGTGTTACTGAGGCTATATTAGTTAACCCTTTTGAAATGGTCAAAGTAAAACTACAATCTAATCGAAAGCATGTCAAAGAAAGCCCATCGACATTCGCAGTGACGAAAGAAATAATTTCTAAATATGGTTTTGGATTGAATGGTCTAAACAAAGGGCTTTCAGCCACTATAATGAGAAACGCAGTTTTTAATTCGTTTTATTTTGGTTTTTATCATTCTGTTAAAGGATATATATCAGTCAGAAAAGAACCTTGGTTGGAATTTTTAAGTAAAGTAATTGTTCAGCTTTGTGTGACAGCACAAGACAAGTGTATAAAGTTATACGCGATTCTCAGTTTGTAACATGTATTGAAAATTTTAGGTTGCTATAGGATTTGTGTCAGGTACTGTCGCATCTTGTTTAAACATACCATTTGATGTTGCTAAAAGTCGCATTCAGGGTTCACAAGATGGTACGCAATACAAAGGAACGTTGAATACCATGCACATTATTTACAAGAGAGAAGGGTATTCATATACATTTTTTACTTACCGATATGATTGTATTCGTGCTCGAAATCACTCACTCACGTAACTGTCATTCTAGATTTAAAGCCTTGTACAAAGGTTTGGTACCAAAGGTGTTGAGATTAGGTCCAGGTGGTGCCATTATGCTTGTGGTATATGACTACATGCATGTATTTCTTACAAAAAAGTTGATAAACTAATACACTGCATTTCAAGAAGCTGTGAGGTAATTATAAGAACTTTTCAAATTGCATTTGATATTTATACATTATTGTGTATGTATATATAATGTATATTTTTTACCAGTAAAAAAAAGTAAGATTCATATAATTTTATAAAAATATAATTCTTTACATGTTTTAAATAAATGAACTTCTAACAATTTTACATGATCTTTCTTTTCCTTTGCTTTCAGTCTTAAATTTTTGTTTATATATACTAACGTATTGTAACAGTGTACAAAAAAAAAAGAATTAATCCCCTAAAACAGTATCTAACCATTTTTCTAAATCAATAGGCTTATTTGGAACACTCTTCGATTTTGTTTTGGAATCTGCAACAAATCGTCAATGAATCTATGATATAAATCTCTCATATTCGTTAGATTGCAGAAAATTAGGCTGATTGCAAATTGCACGTTTACAATTGTTTTTCCTGAGATGGAAATTTAACCTCATAGTTTTTAAAACGAAAAATCCCGAAAATCAAACTATATTAAATGAAACGATAAAATACCGTTTTAATGTTAAAACCTTACCAGTGTTATGAGACATAGATAATGAGATTCCTATTACAGGCTGTGGGATTCCTATTACAGTGCTTTGGACAGGTTCCTTTAGGGATAACAAAAAATCTAGATCTTCCTCTAAGTCATCGATACTGTCTTCAGGTTTTACATTCGTCGCCAAATCCACAGTTTTCAATTGATCGGTCCTCGTGTTCTCTTTGGTCTCAACTTTGGTGTCTGATAAACTCGATGCATTTAGAGTATTTAAAATCATGTTATAAGCCGTCTTGCCTCTCTCAGCGTCATTGAAGATATTCGTCAATTGATCGCTCTAAAATTAATATAAATTATCGAATTAATCATTCATTTGATTGAGATGTATTATCATAATTTGAGTCAAACTTTACATACATTCTACGTTCGTTAGGTCTATTTCTTTTTAGGCGATTTTTGGCGTGCTTCTGGTATAGCAACCAAAAGCAACCGCGGTTGAGGCTATCTTCGTTTTCAGGGATCAGAAGACAAAGATAGCCTCAACCGCGGTTGCTTTTAATTGCTATACCAGAAGCACGTCAAAAATTGCCTTTTATAATTGAACTAATGTATAATTTTTGCACTTAAAGTAAAATAGGTACCTATATAGCTACTTTCCTTTTGAGAGACATACACTGCTTTCCATTTGATGACACGAATCGACACAAGTCGACACAAGCGTCGTTTTATCTTTCTTGACATTCAGAGAGTGACAAAGATAGAACAACACTCGTGCCGACTGTAGGTCTGTTTGCGTTGCATGAAATCCCCAAATATTTTTGCACTTAAAATGAAATAGATAAATATTTGGCCTTGAAAAGAGAGAAAGCGAAGATGCCGAGTGCAAGCAACGCGAACAGACCTTGTGTCTCCTAAAAGGAAAGCAGCCGCAAGTCGATAAAAACGTTCTCCTTCTTAGTATTGAATGAATAACAAAGATAAAATGAACTTGCATCTCTTAAAAGGAAATATGTTTGATATATTGATAAAATATCAAACGTAAAAAAGCGAAAAGAAAACTTCTGATGCAGTCCAGTGCAACAACAAGAAACAAACTTTACGAGTATCTCTTGCATGTCAAATATCTCTCGAGTACTTACTACAAAGTACTTGTCAGCCACATCAACGTACTCGTTGAACGGAACGCAGTCGATCGCGGCCGATAGCGCTTTCAGGTTCAAAGTGAAGAATTCTGAATATTGCGACGAGTCGACGGTCCAGGCTTTTTCTGACTTGAAGACGAAATGTCCACCTTTCGAGAGCGGCGCGTTTATGAGGGTGCCGAAGTCCTTGCCCTCCTCCACATCCTGATCCGTTGGCGATTCCGCGTGCTCGGCGATGGATGAGGAAGGTTGCTGCGATTTGCCTTTCTTCTTCGCCCTTCTTTGCATCCTTGAGAATTCGTCTAAATTCGTCCTATCCTTTCGCGCGAAATCGTAAATCCGCCCAGTGCGTTCTCTGCTTTGTTTTTTGTTGTGTTTACGTTTAGACATCAAACCGCGCATGTGCTAACTGCTACGTAAACGGACGATAGATCGATCGATCGACGTTCGATTCTCGATTTCGAAGATTCACTTTCTCGATATTCGTCTCTCAAATACGAATTCGAAAACAGAAATGTATAATACTTGTGAACAAACTCCGATTAACTTACGCCTGTTTCTACCAATGTAGAGTAACTTTTATCTCGGTTCAATTAACACTAATTTAATTTTCACTTTTCGCGTTTCCGTCTTTAGGGAAAAAGTTACATGATCGATACCTTCTTTTAACAGAATTTTTTGCATGGTTTATCTTTCCTATTTCTCTTTTCATGTTGAGAAGATAAAGAGATGAACTGTACAAGAAGTTCTACTAAAAAAACTATTTTCATATGAATATTTTAATTACTCAATAGGAAAACGTGATGTAGAAATTATAGCTTGCGGCATTTTTTACTGCCGTTTTTCCGGAAATAATAGATACTCCCATATTTATCTTTTACCGCTATTTAAATATATCTATACATTTTTTATTTAAATAAGATTTCCGCAGGAGGTAAGAAAAATATATTATCAATTGCGAGAGAGAGAAGATTGATAATTTTCCTAGTCTATTATTATACATATTATTTAGATTTTGTCTCATTAGTTGGTGATTTATTAAAATTTGATCACAATTGTTAAATTGTAAATCAATCAGTAAAAATATGAATTACAGATAGTTTATATTTTTATATTTATAATATACTTGTGACCCGTAAGATCAAAGATGTAGATCTAAGAATCTACTTATCATAATTTGTCGTAAAACCACATTAGGCACAAGTTTATTGAGTTCATAAACATGAGAGATATACTAGAGACATGTTAGACACGAGAATTAAAATTTAGATGAACGATGGAGAAACAATAAATGTAAAATTTCACATAAATTCAATTTGGTATTTACTAAAATGTAAATATTGACGGCATGCGTCTCAATTGTTGGATATTTTTCTAATCGTGATAATCATTTGCGTTTACTTGAGTCAATTTCTAAAGATATCTGTCAGTCATAATGGACTCGTTGAAAGATCGCGATCGAGAGTTTTTAGTTTCAGAATGTGAAGAACTGAATTACGATAACCAACGAATTCGAGTACCAACGAATGCAACCATCGCTGTAAATACAAAGTTCTGTAGAAACAAGTGGCGATCCATGGGAATTAGAAAATCCAAAAGGTGAATTCTTTGCTGGAAGCTGATTTTATTAGCATTAAATTTCAGATAAAGTCCCGACAAATATACTTCTATTACATACTACAAATTTAAGACCTAAAAGTTTGCAAAGGCAATAATAACACGCAGGGTATTGGAAAGGATCAATCGATCCGCAACATTACTTTTACCCTAAAATAAAAAGCGACTCGCGTATTACGCACCAAACTTCGCAATGTAAAAAACCACAAAAAAGATGGGGACCAAAGTTGAGCGTGGCAGAAACAACATTTATTGATAAATTGCTATGATGAAGTTCTATTAATTATCAATGATAGGTAAAATTCATAATAATACGAGGTCTTCTTGAAGGAAACCGAGGTCTCAGGATGGTGGAGGGAGAGGATGTGATAAAGGAAGTATACGAACTTTTATCTTTATTTTCACGCATGCATATATAGAGATTTTTGCGTATAAGCATATGTATATATATGCAGTTCTCTAGAGCGAATAAAATGGCGTGTGGCAACCAAACCAACTGATAAAGAATATGATCGGTATAAAGGTCTGGGAGCACCTTACGCTCGTCCCTATTCTACGAAAAACTTTCGACGAACTTCTTCAATATTTTCCGAAACACTTTCGGCCCTGTTTTCACCCCCAACCAAATAACCTGTGTCCCGGTCGGGGGTTTGACGATCAACTCGATTCTGTCTTCGGGCTTGCATTACTTGAAGTTTTCTTCTAGGCTTGAGGCTTCTCAGCCGGAAATGAATTGCAGATCATATTCTTTGTCACAAGCAACCGACAAAACCTTCTGACTCTTGACAATGTGAGCAAGATAAACGTGTTCTTCAAATATCTTGTCTTGACTTTTCAAAACTCATTTTTTCAGAGTGAAACTTCAAACTTCCCTCTATCATCCAATACCTCTTGATTCAAAACCTTATAAACAAACAAATAGGTTAGAGAACTTACTTTTATTCGAAGCTTGTTATTATTTTTCTTTTTTGTGTTTTCGTTTTCTTGCTTTCTTTATTTAGGTTTACTTTATTTTTTTAAAGAGACTTTCCACATTTTCTTTAAAAGATTCTATCTAACGGCTGGAATACAACTATAAGCTAAAGACTGGCCGCAAATTTCGAGCGCTCAATTATATTCCAGCTTTCACATTATAGCCTTGTATTTTTACACAATTGAAACCTTATCTTCATAAAAGGAAGCAATATAAATTTATAAACTTATGAAAATAAGGTTTTACATCTATTCTAACCTTACTGGTTTTCGTGCAGTATGCTAAATTCTGCTACATTTTATACTTTTTTTTTAGTCTTTTTCCATAGTCTTAACGGTATTGTTATGGTATTGTAATTCAAACGCTTGTGAGATTGTATCGCATACGATGCAGAACTGGGTAAGGTAAGAATAGTAATATAATGCGATTTCGTTAATTTCATAATTTTGACCCGTTGAAGAAATATTTGGGTCAAAGTCATCTCCGAAAGGACCTGGCCTCGCATCACTTCATCTGATTTAATATCGACCTGAAATTCATTAAGCAACAAAAAAACCATGATTGTTTTACGAAGTTACGGATTGCTGCTTAGCTACTACCGTACGATTTATCAAGCGCATTTCTCTGATGCCTTCTTCTGCTGTTTTCTTGCTAACTTAAATACTTACTTTACAATCCAACTGATATTACCGTTACAATTAGAAATATAAGCGGTCTACGAAAATATGAATCCAGAAGAAATATTACATAAATTGCTGATCGACCCTTTTCAATGTAATAAAATATGTGCAAAATCATTTTCTTGACTTGATTCGTATAATAAGCAGCACTGATACAAAATAGAATTTTTTTTTAAATATCTAATGCAATACATTAATTTCTTTTAGATTTCATAATTTTCAACTATCTTCAAGAAAGCAGTTTATTAACATATATGACACAGCAAAATGCCAGGCCATAATAGAGCGAGATGATGAGAAATAGTGTCTTTCTCTAGAAAAATAAATGTCTTAAAACATGCGAAGTTTTTCTTCATGTAATATTTTCGTGTAGTGTTCGGTAAAATAAACAAGTGAAGAGAAACAACATTGCAATAAACACGGTTGTGCAATAAATTATGAAAATATGAATATTTTGCTAGATAATTTGCAGTTTTATAAATATGTTTACACAACCACCGTGTGTTTAACGTGATACAGGGATGAGACACATATCCATGTAGACAGCTTATATTACAACGTAAATTAAAGAGGAGATTGTACTTACGCGGTGAATAGGAGCGCGATCTAGAACGGTCGTAACGTGAACGTCGGCGACTGTAGTATGGGCTGGGTGAGCGACGATAACTTCCTCTGTAGTTAACCCTGTTATTTTCCGTATTTACAAAAAAACAACAAAAAAGAAAAATAATATGTAATATGTGTCAATTATCTTTTTGAGACACATGTGTGTTATTCCAGAAGTAGACAAGACTTACTCTCTACGTCTCGGTGCGTCCCAGCTTCTATCATGCAGATGCGTAGGTTTTCCCATGTATATTCCTGGAGTGGGGGTATGGGCACGTTGTGTGATAGAGAAGTCTACACGAATTCGCCTCCCGTCGATTTCCATACCGGTACATTGCTCTTTAGCCACTTTAGCGTCCTCGGATGAGTCGAAATATACAAAGCAGAATCCTCTAGAACGTCCAGTCTGTAATAAATGACATATGATATCATCGTGCCGCCATTAAATCGCACTAAATTGATTTTTAATTCACTATTGCTTTTTAATTCACATATAGACCTGTATCTATATGTAATTATGTGGCCAGAAGCCTTTAACGTATCATGTGTTCCTTAAGTATGAACGTTCTAAATCTCTGGCATGATTTTACTGTTCCCCAGTATAAATATCTATGGGGAATAACAGACTGTTGCATTAAGGTCTGTTCTTTATAACTAAACTAACATATGCCTATTGTACTTAAAATAGGTACATATTGAAGTATTTAGCAAAAGTGGAAAAGAAAGTTTTAGTGCAGTTCAATGAACTGATAAAGAACAGACCTCAAACATGTTTCGTGCTGCGCAAGTCACATTAAATTTTCCATTTAGTTATCAAAGGCCATTTAATAATTTGGCTATAAAAAGAAACAATTATAAAATAATTTTTTATGTCATACATGATACATAAGTATAATATATGTTATAATACAATATTGGTACATTAAATCTTCTACTTTATAATCTTTGTAATTTTGTAAATATGTACGATATTATAAAATATATGTTATTTAGCAAATATAATAAACGCAAATAAAAATATCGTAAGTCATAGGTAACTTACGCAGCGTGATGGTTAAATTACTAAAAATTGGCTTGGTACAGAACGTGTTAATATGCATATGTATATATAAATATACATCAATTTTACATACCTTTGCATCGATAACAACCTGTACGCGTTCTACTGGACCGTACTTTGAGAATATATGTTGAATTTGTTGTTCAGTAGTAAAAATGGAGAGTCCAAAAACACCTAGGCAACGGGAAGGACAAGGATTGTCTCGATTGCCGATGTGTCGTCGTCTGGATGACATTGGGCTGCGCGAATGTGAACGGTACACGTGTCGATCGCGGGAGTATCGCGATCGTGAGTATGAGCGGGATCTACTGCGAGAATAACGACCACCACGGTATGGTGAGCGACTCCGACTGCGGCTACTGCGATGACCAACACTGGTGTACTTGTTGCCGCGATACGACTTCCGGCCACGTGATGCAGAGCGACTACGGGACCTCGAATATTTGACTTCTCTGTCC